ATCCACACTCCAGCTACATACACACGCAAAAAGCCTATATGAAAGTTCTTTGTCTCATCTTTTTTCAAATAACTCTCTTTCGAAGTCAGAAAGATTCCTATTGCATGCATTTTCCAGAAAATCTGACACACTTTATGATTCAAAAATAAAAAGGCTGCACAGGACGTCCCTCTGTCAGCCAGTCGTGGTCTTTCCACTTCCTGTCATGACTGAAATGGTTGAGGGGGCATTAAGCTGTTTTGCTCAATGGCCCTTAACCAATATAAAGAAGTACTGAGATAGCATGGTCAGATTTATGCCCCTGTGAAAACATTATCAATGCGTGCAAGCACATGCATGAAAAGAAACATTATGAAATTTTTTAAACATATATATATATATGAAATATTAAATAATCAATCACAAAAAAGGAAAGAAAAAATAAAAATATCACCCTCGAGATAACAAAAGACTTACTTAGTAAAAGAGAATACCTCTAAAAACTACACTTTTCCTTTTTTTTTCCAGAGAACCTTCCTTTGTTTGTTGGATCTAAATTATAGCTTGATTAAAGTCTAGCAGAGAGCTACAGTAAATCCTGTGTGAATGTTTTTCTGCAGTTCCTTTAAAATGGGAAATATTGATCAGCATGATTTCCCTGGATACTAGGCAGCTGTGGAGGAAGAGTGAGAGACATTATTTCAGGGACATGGAGCCTAAGTTGAAAAAAGGAAATAAAAAAGGTTACGCTCTGGTATAGGCTTTAAAACATGGCTTCGTGTGAGTGGCCTTTGATGGTGAGGCGAGAAGGTAGTTCATCATTGCCTACATGGGAACCTCAGAGGTGGTCGTCTTATGTTGATTTTACATTATTAATTTGAGGCACACAAGGTCACTGGGGCCCGTATAGCCATGAGAACCAGTTGTTATCTTAACACAGCTGTCGGGCCAAATCTGCATTGACTGATTATGCCATTGATTGGTAGCATTGTGAGAAGGAAGCCCTGAGGATATTGCTCCAAAATGTGGTACTAAAACCATCACCTAAATCTAGTCCTTATATTTTTGGGGCTATTTTATAATGCCTACAGCATTAAACAGTGCAGCACAAGTGTTGTGTAGCCATTCCTCAGACATAATCAGATGTCAGCAAATCAGATGGAAATGTTAAATTGTTGCAAACACATGCAAATACGGGATAAACTTTGTCTGTGAGGGAGGGATGGGGGACTAAAAGGAAAATAAACACTACAAAAACTGTGAAATCTTAAACAAAAGGGGGTTGAATCCTGAGCAGCTGGCATGGAATGAACTCTTCTGGAGAGGGAATGCCAGTTTCAGAGCGCCCCAAGCATCGATTTAGAGCCAAGGCAGTAAACAGCTTTTATCAGCAATAATGATGGCATAATCCCAGCTAAAGAGGAAAGTAGCATATGGTGCAAAGCTTACAACTGCAATCCCAACAAAGTAGGGGGGATTTTCATCACTTTGTCCACTTGAAAGACATTATGCCATTTTTTTTTCTTTTGCCTTCACGAGCATCACGATCTACATGGCATTTTTTTAGGTTTTTCAGGAACAGGTGGTAGTTATCAGACAACCCGGCAGAGGCTGAAATGAAAAGGGATTCAAACTGGGACTGGCTTTTCCAGGGAACCTGGTCACTCAGTTTAGATATAATCACCAACTACTTTAAACCTGCATGCAAATGATCCGTATGTAAATTTGCATGCAGGCAGAATAATATACACTTTGTATGCTTGACAATGTGACATTTGTTGCTGTCCAATACTAAGATTTTTTTACTACAATTCCACATACATATGAAGAGTATCTTTGTAGATGCTTGTCCTGTAGCTGCCATCTACACTGACGTCAAACAGTCTTTTCTTATTTGTCTGTATTTCACCTGTCAGTTTCATCATATCCTCCCATCATTAAAACAATCAAAGCTCTCCTTTTGATCAGACAGCCAAGACCAGGAGACAGCTCTTTTTCAGCAACAGTTTAATGCAGCCAAGTAGCACTCTAGACTGTCTTCAACCTCTGTCATTGATTTTCCTCCAAGCTGTGACCATTCATTGTTTGTGACATTCTCCTGTCGGCTCTTTAACACCCTTCAACCAAATCAATTTCATATTTTTGTCAATGTCTTGCAACTGGATGAGCCAGATGGAAAGGGACGTCGCATGATTTAAGATGTCGATTTCCTGGCAACAGTTTTATCTGCTGTTTTTACAAGACGTGGCTGGTGCGATGAGTTTATTTAAGAATATATAATACCTGAGAGGCCAAGACAAGCTTTTGATGATAGTTTTCAGATTTTCTTTATTTTGATACTGGTTACACAAATATTCATTTATAAAAATGTTACATTTTTATTAGTTCAGAAGAGTTGTCTTAGAATTCTGCAAGCATTTGTTGTTTACCGATTATATTATTATAGTTATCAGTTCTCAGTGGAATTACGTTTGAATAAGTCTTGAGCTAACACCTAATACCAAAAATTCTGACCATCACATGGATTACCCTACTTCCTAAAGTAGCTTTGCCTGGAGTTGAGTTTTTGTGAAGAACATTTCAGTTAGCTTTTTAATCCTATAAACCAAATATTAGAAAAAACATTTCTCCATCTCTAGCAAATTACTACATTTATTTTTCCTCTTCTTATGCCTTGCAGACAATATGGCAGTGCCCTCCATTACACTTTCAATATCACACACTAACAATGACAACAATAATAGAGCGGGTGACCTTGACTTCCCGTCTGGACTCTAAGAATAATATCTGATAGCAATATTAAGTGCAACAATAATGAGATGAATATTCCCCATTTATTGTAGACAGCTTTAGGACAAATTCTGAGGGGAGAGCCGCCCGCCGCAGCAACATGCTGGTCACTCTTAGTTGTCAGGGCTGATTTATTGCCTCCTAGCTGTTCAATTTCACATTTTGTCCTCGTCATATCCCCGACTCATGATCATTCTGCACTGACCCTTGTAGGGCAGGCAGGGAATATTGATAAAACAATTATCTGCTTGCCGTTCATTTGATTTTCCATTTCAATTACGGATTGGAGGAGGCAAAAAGAAAAGATTGCGGCATTGATTTTTTTTTTTTTTTTTTTTTTTTTTACCTTGCAACAGGAAGGAGGCAGGCTTTGATGGGATGCTTTGGTGACATGGAATAGGGGAATGAGAGAAGTATTAGCTTTAGGTGCTTTACTTTAATCGTTGTGTACGGTTTGCGACTTTACTGCTCTGTCACGGACAATAATTATTCCAAATCCGCAAAGGGATACAATGATTCTACGTTCAACTTTTAAAAAAGGATTCTCCAGACACATGCATCATAACGTTGCTAACCTGAGGTAAACACTGTGTGCGCCTTGCACTCTGGAGGCCAAAGGACCCAAAGGTCATAGCAGTTTGTCAGTGACACCGTTCAACTTTAGCCCCCTTTTTGATGGTCTGCCACTGTCTATTTGTCACTCTAAAATGACAACACAGTTGCATCATACTTTTTTTATCCTGCAGCATTGACACAATTCTCTGTCGTCGCTACAATGGACAACAGGGTACTTTGATGGGGATGATTTACAGGTAATACGTAGAAGAGACAATTGCTCCTGCAACAGATGAAAATAAAGTGACTATAAAAAAATCTGGAGTTTTCAGTCAGATGTATGATGAAAGCAGAGGTTCATTCCAAAATGTGGGGTCAAATGAACCTATTTCTACAAAGAATAAATAGATTATTCTGTAAATGATTTGGAACATTGGTAATGGTTAAAGGCCTAATGGGATCTGGGTAAAATAGCCTTTGGGGAGCCTGGGAAAATCTGCCTCAGTGAAGTGTCCGGCTGTGGGCCAAAACCCTGTGTAGAAGCGGGGGGGAGGAGGAGGGGAGGCCCAGACTTCACAAAGATGACAGAAAGTGAGCAGGAGAGAGTGACAGACAGAGAGCTGTTGGGGAGAGGGGTGGGGAGGAGGACACTCTCTCAAGGAATCTCCAGCCGTGGATGGAGTTAAATTCCACTGTTGAGCATAATCAAGTAAAAATGCTGAGGACTTGAAAGGGCTGATGATAATGCTATTGCTGTCCAGTGATCCAGCACGGTCACAGGCAGCTGCAGCGAGGCTCGGTGCTGTACTACTTCCTATATCGCAGTCCGCTTCAGCGCACATGGTGGCTCCCGTGAGATTTCACATGGCTGACCTCAAATAAGTTTGGCTTTGATCAAAGTTTAGCATTAGCATGATCAGTCTGCTTACTGCAGATCAGGGGATCAGGGAGATAAGACCTGGGCTCCAAGGTCCTGGCAGAGACTCCTTCCCAAAGCTCCAGTGCACCCTTCCAACACCAGATTATGTTGGGTAATTAAGGTAATGAACTGGCTAACGTAACAGCGCATAATTATCCTTTTTATCCCTGTTCTCTAAGGTGTCTCTTGCAGTTCATCTGACACATCTTTCTATGCATCATCTAAATAGAGCTTTACTTTCTGTCCTGATTTTCTTTTCTTTTTTATATACTCTCATTGTTGTTACAGGCAATCTAATAAAAGAAAAGAGTGACAAGAGTTTTCAGAGGAATATAGTATAACAATGGAGCTTTTGTTCATGCTTTGGGCAGCAACGGGAGACAAGAAGAAGGCTGCAAAAGCACCTCTGTGAACGCATGCTTTTGCTTGCATTGGTGTACATCTGAGCGAGCAGCCAGGCCCAATGTGAGAGAGTGAAAGGCTGCAGTCCAGTTTCCCCCAGTCAACCTCCCACCCCATCAGTGCATGACTTGTCTGCCTGCTCCCTTTTCATTTGAACACATTTTCTAGCCAAAAATTTCACTTCAATCTCACCTCATCTCTCCATACTACATTAACCCCTGGCAATTGCCTTCCAAATGACCCCATTAAGCTGTAATTGCCTCAGCAGGCCTGCTCCCTCGCTTGTAATTCTGTGCAGCGAACCCACCAGACGTTCCCCCGGCATTGTTTCATGTTCTGGCTCCCATCAACCAGTTCAGATGCCGAACCCCCCTCCCATCCCACTGCTCGCCATCTCCTCCCTGTCGTGGTCGGAGTGGCCGGTGCTCACCACTAGCCATGCCACTGGCGGCTTCTTCCTGTTCCCAGAGGAAGCCCACACAGGAGGCGCTGCACCCTCGTCTTCTCCCTAACAGCCACACTCACCGTCAAATCACAGAGGTGAATACTTTCTCCACCAGAGACCTTTGAAACAAACCTTGATGTGTTTTTATCTCAGGTCGGTCTGCAGATGACTTGGCGTAAAACATTTTTTAAAGAACATCTACAAACCAAGCTCTTTTCTATTTTCCATCCTGATATTTTCTCATCTTGACATTTGCATAATTAATGGTGGCATAACATTTGTATGTAAAAACCATAATTTTTCTCTTCACTTGTCATTAAGATGCCGTTGGGTGCCAGGAACACTTCTGGTGATGACACCAGTCCCCCCCCCCCCCCCAAGCACAAATTCACCTTTGCTGATCCCCCAAGGGAGGTGATGTCAAGACTGCTCAACTTTTTGAAGAGGGCCTCTGTGGGTAACTAACGCACAAATGCGGATAGGTGGAGAAAGTGATCCTGACAGTGATGTATTGCAACTAGTTGCAAGTGTCAAAAAGAAGATGCTCTGCCAGCCACCGGTGTGCATGCACAGTATATATGCATGCATGCACACATCTGGGCCCCCGCATATTTTTTTTTCCGAACATGTGTCATGACTGTATGCACATCATGCTTATATTTTCATATATATGTGTAGCCGAATCCTTGATCTGTGCACATGTGACTGTTCATGATGTCTTTAAGCTTTTACGTGTGACCTGGTATGGGGGGGACTCTGGCTAATTATCCGTTTAACACTCCCTCCATCTCAACCATTAAATCCTCCCTTACACCCATAAAAGCACATAAACGCTCACTCACACTGCTTCTTTGTCTGGAAGTCTAACTGTTGTGTATTCAATTTAACACAAGGTTCAAAACTTCTTGTCCGTCTACACACTTTGTTTGTTTATAAAACCTCTTTGGAATGCGGAAGAAGCACAGCAGCATTGGTTTCTAATTTTTTATTACTGCGGCCCCTACTGTGATTTAAAAAGAGGCTCTGAATTCATTGTACACCAGGCTTTTTCTTAACACGCAAACCTTCAAAAATGCTTAAGATCATTTCATTCTCTCATTGCCTGTTTATTTAAATTCATTCTTTTCCTAAGCAAATGTTCCCAGGAATATCAAGGTGTTTTTGTTGCAAAGCTCTAACTGATCCACGGGGATTTGCTTCCAACAGCCTGTCTCTCCCTTGCCTTTCAACACAAAACTCTGCGCTCCAATCAAAATGAACCACCAGGGACACCCCCACCCCCCTCCCCCCTGAGCTACGCCTGCTCCGAGTGCTGTGATAGCAGCCTCTATGCCATTGATCGCGGAGTTTAGCACAGAGCATGTATGCCACTGTTAGCAGAAAACAAAGACCTTTTTCCCTTTAATAGCGGCACACACTATTAATGTACCTAACGTCTCCTGCTTCTCTGTGCCCCCAAGAATGAATGAAAGAAAGCAGATTGCAATTAAAAAGGTTAACTAGGGTCCATGTCTCATCTCAACTCATCTTTTTCACACAGATCTTTTTGCCTCATAGACAGATTGATATCTTTTGGGGGGTGTGCATACACTTGCCACAAGAGATAAAAACATGCATACATGTCTTATTTATAATTGTATTCCACATTGCAAATCTAATTGTAGACACTGAATTCAAAAAGGAAACACGGCTTTATTGATCCACCTAACACAGGCCAGGAGGATCTCATGAATTAGGAATGAGATAAATCAACATTAACCCCAGAGAATCCACCTTGTGGTCGACCACTGACAAACCGCACTGTCCTTTTTTTTTTTTCTTTGAATATTCAGGATAATTCATTCTGGTAGATTACACATACGTGTGTGTATCTATATCTACACACTCACCACACATATATGTAGGTGTGTGTGTGTGTATATATATATATATGTATGTGTGTGTGCGCGTGTGTGTGTGTCACTATTAAATGAATACAGCATGTGTCTGTTTATTTAATCAGGAGCTGATTTACATGTGACAGAGAATAAATTCTTCTATTTTCTTTGAGCCTCTATAAAATTGCCATCATTTTTAATTAATTCTTAATTAAAATATATTACACCACAGCTTCGACCCATCTCTCTTGATATTCTAACATAATCAATTCAAAACCATTTACATATCATTAATTAAAAGCTTTCCTCTCTCATTCTAAAAATCATAATGAGGGCCGATTCCTCATTAGTAACCTATAAGGGAGAAAATAACAATACAGTAGAGAATGGATGGCACATTCCACAGCGAGTCCTTTGTCTCTGATTTTTTCAAACACATCTAAATTGAATTTCAGAATTACTGAGTCAAATTTCAATTAAAACAAGTGAAGCAACAGAGACTATCCATATTGTATATTAGTGCCTTGTGGTGTTCCTAAATTCGGCTTAATATTAAAAAAACTGAAATAATCTCTAGTGATGTACAATTCTATCCACTAGATAAACATAATGAAACACATACACACACAGGTATATGTGTGTACGTGGGTTATTACTTTTAATATATATATGTATCAATGAATTGTAATTGTTAAAAGTAATAAACAAATGTGAATGAATTTAAATACCAGTTCAATGCTTTTTTTCAGTTATGCATTGAGATAGCAGAAATTAATTTAAACTTTTTTCATGCACACAAACAATGGGCAGAAATTATTCATTACCCCAACTTAAAAAAAAATCTTACTCCTGCTTTCTTTCCATCTGGATATTTCTTTTAAAGAAGAGTAATAATATCAAGTAATGATAGGTATTGTTATGCGGAGGATCAGGCGCATTCTGATTTTTATCGCTCGTCTCTCACAGGTGCTCTGGCGTTACTTGTCAGGACTGCATGTCTGGGTCTTCCACATGTCAGATAAAAATCGCTGCACTTGGTGTTTCGGCAGCCTGACAGCAATTTATTTGAATGTTTTGTCACACTGGTGTTGGTGCATTTTGTGTGGGCTGCTCACCGGAATGGCAACAGCACACAGCTTCCTGACACTCTCACACACATACACACAAAACCCCAGCTGCATAATGCAGAGCATTTTTACTATACTATACTATATAATTAAAACCAGAGAAAAAAAATCTATAAGTAGCAGCTGGTAAACAATATGTTCATTAATATCTAACACCTTAAAAGGCAGTTGATGCTACACCATTAACACTGGCCATTCTTATCAAATTTCATTTACACCTGCATTGCCACACACAACACCTTATACTGGAAGAACCCAAAATAAAATGTCAAACTTGCTGTCAAACACTGATGGGGATCACTTACATTCATGAAAACACCAGCAATATTTCTACGTAAGCCGAGTTTTTTTTTTTAGAACTGTACACAGTAAAAAATCAAATAATCCATGTTTAATACAAACCATAGTACAATCTTTCTGATTCTCTGAGTATGACATGGAAGATCAGGTTAGTTAATGAAATCCTCTAAAAGACAGGAACTCTATTTTTACTCTGAGATAATTAAAGTACAGCACAGATATAATTTACAGCCTTCTCCTAATTGCATAGGAAAAGTAAAATGGGAGAGCTGTACAGTACGAACGGAGATGAAACGCGCCTCTCGGTGTGTGTATCTACAGTCTGGAGGAGTGTGTGTAAGAGAGCTCACCGTGCATCAAAACAGCAGAAATATATCTTTCAGCATCATGGAACATATCAAAGATAAGGTAATGAAACATACACTCTTCTACTTTTATACTACCAGGCCCTTTGACAAATTGAGTACAATCCAAAATCTCCATAAATCATTATTAAAGACAAGTATATCATCACCAGCACATATATCTTCCGTAGCCTGACCTGTAGACTAATGAGAAAAGGCCCGGACTATCTTGTCTGATTAATTAATTCAAAATGTCGGCTGTTATTCAAATGTGAGGCTGGTATTATTTGAATAACACTTGACAGCAATGCCTGAAGAAATAATTTCTGGTTTGCGAGGCTGCTGCGGCATTACTGATGATGGCTCGTAGAAATGTTAGAAGCCGAGGAGTATTTTTTCCCCTCTTTGCTAGTCCACTCACTTTCCCTCCCTCACATTCTCAGTCATGATAGCTCCGAGAAGTATTTCATTACTTGGACCAGGCTACCCACCTTATCCTCTTCACAATTATGGCTCTTTCTGCTTTTTTTTTTTTTTTTTTCCTACTGTCTGTCCTCTCTGTGTTTGTATTCCCTCCCAGAGCCAGCCCAGATCTACGGGGCAGCGCTTTGGCTCTGCGAGAGACATGCTGGCAAAGAGGAAGGTCATGGTTTTTACAACTGCTGCTCCCCAATGCTGACAGCCCATACTGCCAAAGTGACACACTCTGTTTGGCTTTCCCACGTTCATACAGCTTCACAGCACTTCGTCTTTATCAAGAAGCACGCACACACACACACAAACACACACACACCCCACACACACAAATGTGCACATTTAATCAGCCTCAGAGCTGCATTTCTTGTCAGCAGGCAACAAAATGATCACATGTATGGACATAATCACTGAATATGACAACCGACAGAAGTGGAATTTTCCCCATTTGGTGTGGCACTTTTCGTTTCTTCCGTCTTTCTTATTTTATTGCTCAAGCCAGTGGATTGGGGGTAGGGAAAGTAGTCACTAGAGAAAAAAAAACTATGAACGAACGTGCTGAGGCCTAGGGGCAGCGCAAACCCCTCTATCGCTTCCCTCATCAAGCATGGATTCTAATCAGGGCTGGGGAGATATAAGACGCTCAGTCATTAAATAAATTAACTCTGCCACTCCATGCTCTCCTTCAGCACCCGCGTAAGGCCTGCCGTGCTCTGCATACTTACAGGGGCTCACCTTCATCCCGTAGCCTAGAACACACAGGTTAAGAGCAAAACTTGTATCTTTAGAGAATGAGATCAAGACCACACCTCCTGTCCCTCAGTAAGCCAAAGAAAGCTTTTACATAATTGCATTAAGAAAGGAAAAAACAATCCCTCACGATTGTGAATTAAGAGGCTGCGATAGCAGTTTGTTTGTTTTTTTTGTTGTTTTTTTTTTTT